CCACTACACACAACACACACACACAACGTGACGAACTGCGTGAACCGAGAGCGGGCCTCAATCAGCAACCTTCCTATCCACGACGCTTGACGTGTCGGGATAGTCTCGGACTCAAGTCACCCGTGCAGCCGAAGCCGCATGGGGACCGAGTCGAGATGCACACTTCCCATTTGCGTGGGAGGCGGCGGTTGAGTGCATGAGGTGTGTGAGGGTTGATGTCTGGTGGGGTGATGGTGTTAGGAGGTAGGGAGTGAGGGAATGTGTGGTGTGACCGGCGGTTGTCTACCGCAGGTCGTCGTGGATGCGCATGTGGCCGAATAGACCCATGCGATGCTGAAGGTGGGAGGGCAGTGTGGGCAGTGAAGGCGAGTGCGGTGGGTGTAGGTTGGTGCTCCAGGCACTGGTTCGCCAGTCTCTGTGCGATGGATTCGCAAGTGACCGATCAGGCCGATGCGTGAGGTGAAGGTGCGTGGACAATGTGGGCATGAGAGGTCGGCGGTGTCGGTTTCAGCTGTAGAGGAAGCAGTGGTGTTGGTGGTGGTGGTGGTGGTCGGCGCGTGTGACGGTGGAGCGAGGATGGATCTGGGCGTGGTGGATGTGTTGGATGTCGTGACTGTATCGGAATTGTGGTCAATTCCGCTCTCGTGGATGCGTTTGTGGCCGAATAGACCCATGCGATGCGCGAAGGTGCGAGGGCAGTGGAGGCGAGTGCGCTGGGTGTAGGTTAGTGCTCCAGGCACTGGTTCGCCGGTCTCTGTGCGATGGATTCGCAAGTGACCGACCAGGCCGATGCGTGAAGTGAAGGTGCGATCGCAGTGAGGGCAGATGTGGTCCTGGCCCTCACGTCTGATGAAGGAGGTTGCAGGGTTTGTGCCTGTTGTTGTGTCAGGTTCGGCTGTGGTGAAGTCGTGGGCGACAGACGCCGAAGCGGCCGTCGTTTTGGCAGTGAAGGAGGAAGAGGAGGAGTGAGGGGTGGTAAGGTCGGTGGCGTCGATGTCGGCCGAGGAGTGGTTAGTGGGTGCACAGGGTGATGGATTGGGATTGGGGCTCGGCGGGGTGGGTGTGTCAAGGCTGCGGTCAATTCCGCTCTCGTGGATGCGCATGTGGCCGAACAGGCCCATGCGACGCCGGAAGGTGCGAGGGCATTGTGGGCAGTGGAGGCGAGTGCGGTGGGTGTAGGTTGGTGCTCCAGGCACTGGTTCACCAGTCTCTGTGCGATGGATTCGCAAGTGACCGACCAGGCCGATGCGAGAGGTGAAGGTGCGGTCGCAGTGAGGGCAGGTGTAGTCCTGATCCTCATCACTGGGATCGGGAGAGGTGGGGGTGGTGGCGGTTGTTGTGTCGGGGTTGGTGATGTGTGAGACGGCAGTCTGAACGGCCACCGCTGGGGCAGTGGAGGATAAGGAGGAGGATGGAAGTGGTGGTGCAGAAGGAGTGTCAGAGTTAGTTGGCGGAAGAGAGGACGAGGAAGAGGCGGGCGGGGGGACGATGGCTGGAGCAGTTCGAGAGGAGCAGTTGATCCGAAGATGTCCAACAAGTCCGATTCGTGCCCGGAATGTCCGTTGACATCGAGGACACGTAGGGAGCGGTTGTGCGGCGGCGTTGCGTACTGGGCGAGATTGTGATTTGCGGGCTTCGCGTTTCACTTTGGCGGCGGCGATGCGGTTGGCTTCGTAGATAGCAGCGCCCGTCTTCACTGTCCTTCTCCATGTCGGACGATCGCGGGCGAGCTCTTCCCAGTTGGTCGGGTTGATTTGCAGGCGCTTCAGGGAGGACTTCAGAGTATCCTTGTAACGGCGAATTCGGCCTCCTTGACGACGAGAACCCGTCGCGACGTCTCCGTAGAAGAGTCGTTTGGGTAGTCGCTCGTCGTCCATGCGCACCAGGTGGCCGCTCCAGCGCAGCTGCATTTGTCTCAGTATGGCGTAGATGCTGAGGATTCCCGTTCGTTCCAGTTCTTCCGTGTCGGGGATTCGATCCTGCCAGTTCAGCCTCAGAATGCGACGGAGACAACTGAGGTGGAAGTGATTCAGTCGGCGTGCCTGTCTCGTGTACACCGTCCATGTCTCTGCTCCATACAGTAACGTCGGCAGGATGACGGCCTTGTACATCTTCAGCTTTGTGCTCAGTTGGAGACCGTGGCGATTCCAGACTGTGCTTCGGAGGCGTCCGAAGGCTTGACTGGCTTTCGAGATTCTGTTGGCGACTTCGTCATCAATCTTGGTGTTGCGAGATAGGGTACTTCCCAGGTACGGGAAATTCTCTACCACTGGCAGTTGGGTCCCATTCACGCTGATTTCCGGCGCGTTGGGGGCTGTGGCTGAGTTGGGCGGAGGTTGGTGCATCACCATCGTCTTCTATGTGTTAATGATCAGACCGAAGTTCTCGCAGGCGGCGGAGAACAGGTCCATGCTGCGTTGCATCTCCGCTTCGGACGTGGTGTTCAGGGCGCAGTCGTCGGCGAAGAGAAGTTCGTGCACGGTGGCTGTGGATACACGCGATTGGAAGTTCATGCGCCGGCGATTCAGGAGGTGACCGTCCGTTCTCTAGGCGATGCGGATTCCAGGGCGTTCGTCGCGGTAGGCGTCCATCAGCATGGCAGAGAACATAAGACTAAAGAGGGTAGGCGCCAGCACACAGCCCTGCTTCACTCCGTTGGTCACTGCGAATGCCTCTGAGACAGCTCCGTTGTCCGTGACTCGCGCCATCATACCATCGTGCAGCTGACGCACTATCTGAGTGAATCGCTCCGGACAGCCGAATTTCTACATGATCTTCCACAGTCCTTCACGATTCACCGTGTCGAAGGCCTTCGTCAGGTCCACGAAGGTAGAGTATAAGTGGGTCCGCATCTCCTGGCACTTCTCCTGAAGTTGGCGGGCTGCGAAGATCATATCCGTGGTCCCACGATGACGACGGAAGCCGCATTGGCTTTCCGGCAGAAGGCCCTGTTCCAGATGGTTGTTGAGGCGGTTGAGCAGGATGCGAGCGAAGATCTTCCCGGCGATGTTCAGTAGGGAGATGCCGCGGTGGTTGTCGCAGACTTGACGATTCCCTTTTCGCTTGTATAGGTGCACGATAGTTGCGTCCTTGAAATCTTGCGGGACTTCACCTTGACGCCACATCTCCTGGAAGAGCGCAGTCAGGTGATCCATCAGTAGGGGACCTACGTGCTTGTAGACCTCAGCAGGGATTGCGTCCGATCCGGTTGCTTTCCCGCTGGAGAGCTGCTGCACGGCCCTGATCGTTTCCTGGAGAGATGGCGGGAGGTCGAGGTCCACGTTGGTCGCCACTTGCGGCAACCGGGCGATGGCGGCGTCGGAGATGACGGAAGGGCGGTTGAGGACGCCTCGGAAGTGCTCGGCCCATCGCTGTAGGATTTGCGTCTTCTCAGTAAGGAGAGTGCTGCCGTCGGCGCTGAGGAGAGGAGCAGTGCCCTTCGTCGGCGGACCGTAGACAGCTTTGATCGCAGAGAAGAAGTTCTTCCATTCGTTGCGGTCCGCGTAGCCTTGGATCTCCTCAGCTTTGCGAGCAATCCAGGCGTCCTGCATCTCGCGCAGTCGTTGCTGAAGCTGTCGGCGACTGCGGTAGAAGGCAGCTTTGGTGGCATCAGTGGGGTGATCTACGTAGGCTTTGTGTAGGCGGTTCTTCTCAGCAAGCAGATTTCTGATGGCGGCGTCGTTGTCGTCGAACCAGTCCTGGTGTTGGCGGGGAGCGCGACCGAGGACGGCGAGCGCCGTCGACTTGACCGTGTCTCGTAGTTGACTGGTCATCTACTGTAGATGTGAAATCACTGTCATTGTCCTTTATCTCATTAACAATTGAGAGGCTGGATAGCGGATTAGCGTGCAGGGCGGTGTGCTTAGGTATTTGTCAGGTTGACGATCATGAAGGACAACTATGAAAGGGTTCTTGTCTGGCAATGGGGGAAAAAGGAGCAAAATGACATACCCACGCATCATGCCCGCAGCCATCATGGCGGCTGCAGCAGCAGCGTCACCCGCCGGTCCGGAGGCCGGAGCACCTGGATTTTGGCCGCCTGTAGCTGCCAACATAGCAGCAGCAGACGCGTGCGGCAAGCCACTGGCAAGCGCTTGGCTAACTGCTGCTGTTTGAGATACCGTACGTGGATTGGCGCCTGCCCCCGACACACCGCTGAACAGCCCAGCAGCCAGAACTGAACCCTGTGGATACGTTGTGCACACACCACTGCCATCAGAAGGTTGGGGTCGGCGTTGGCCACGGAAGACAGAGCGCCTGGGTCAAAGTCTTTTGACAGCATAGCACTGGATTGGCTAGCCGTATAGCCACTGCCTCAGCTGCAGCTAGCACCCGTTGGCCTAGGCCTCTGGAGAAGCTTGCTGGTGTCCGGTAGACAACCTGAAAGGCTTCTTTGGCATCGACTCGGTGATTCGTATCGACCATATGTGCGAGAATAGAACTCCAGATCAATTTCTTTTCACCATTTTCTCCGTTTTCCTGGCGTTGACTAGCAGGCTAATTTGCTTTGCAACCTTCATAGTGATACTGGGCCCCAAACTTAACCATGGTTAATGAGTAGAAGTGAAAGATAATCGCTTTTTCTAACGCTTCAAATTGACGTAGTAACACTAACATATAGTTGAGCTGACTGGGGGTTGTAGCGCAGTGTCTCAATTATACGAGTTCTTTCCCCAAGGCCGCATCCTGGTGTTCTAAATCGGTGGTTCGGTATCTTTTGTCACTTTCAGGCCTTTTAGAGGTCTAAGCAGCCGATAAAGGATTGTTGGAGAGATCTCCCACGCCCATTCGGACTTCAAAGCTCACCAATGACGAAAGGGTTTCAGCTTTCTGACGATTTAGTTGAAATTGTGCCTTTCGTGCGACTTTAGTATTGATTCGTTTTTAAGTTTGCATCTCAGTTTAACATCTAAGGTATAAGCGGAGTAACGTTAGTAACTTGTCAGCATTGCCAAAGACGTTTTTCTTAGCTGTTGCCATCAGTCCTTTTTTCAGCCCTGATGCAACTTGCGTTTCCGTTCGTCCAGGTCCCCACCGAGGATATCTTATTCGACTTGGATTTAGCGGTAGCCAACTTGACAACCAACTGTGAGCCTCCTGCCACTGCGACTACCGCCATGTCACCGATCCCCCCCACGCCAGTACCCCTACAGAGTGCCTCTCGATCTCCCCCTCCGACAGTTCCCGAGCCTGTCCATCGTTTCTGCTACAGCATTGAGTTGAAGGCACTTCAAGCCACCAATCCGCTACCGGAGAACTGCTTGGTCTATGCTAGGTGAGCCCGAGACTAACTGTGTGAATGTTCGTGTATTGTTCGCCCCACTGCGTTATTGACGTTGTCCAAAAGCGCTTTTATAGACTGATACTTTTGAGGAGCCAATCAATCAATTTTTGCTCTGTTTAGGTATGTGTACCCTCTGTTTGGCAGCCGAAGTCCAATAATGACATTGCCACCGGTAGCTCTACCTGGAACCGATGAGACAGTGCTTCCGCAGGGTTTCTGCACATTTGAACTTGCGGCCGAACCCACTGAGGTTGTTTCTTTTTCGTTAGGCCCCCTATGTACAGACTGTTTTTGCCTCTTACGTAAAAGTAAATATTGTTTTGGACCAAGTCTTTGGATCACAACTTTTTCCTCTAGGCTCCGCTTCCCGTGCTTTGTGTTCGCACCTCTTGCTTCTCAGAAAGTCTTCATCTGTGTCGCGTCACCTATGTGGCGTAGATTCCCAAACTTGAGTGTTTACATCTAATTTTCGTCTCTTTATGTCAACTCATGGGTCCACTTGCATATTTATGTACATTTAGTGACCTAACTCATGAAATGTGTCGAAATGCACGAATGATTGCCGATCGCTCGCAAACCGACACCATTTCATGAGTCAAATGTCTATGTTAATTAAGTACAAGTTTAAAAGAATTAAAAACATAAAAGAAAAATTATAGGCAGTGTTGCGTTGTTTGGAAATGTCGATTTATTTTGAAAAGTTCAATATCCCGAAAACGTCAGAAATGGCTCTAATTAAGTAAAGTTCGTTTTCAGATGTATAGAATGTATTCTCATACCAAACACACAGTAAATATGAAGGTAGACATAAAATAACGTCTAATAACAATGTTTTAGTGAAGTCTACATCTAACTATCGTCTAATAAGTAGTGTGACTTCATATATGACGGTTTGTCAACTGCCTACATTCTGGGTGTACATTCCAAAACAGTTTTCCAGTGTTTCATAAGTTCCTCTACTTTTTGCAGTTAAATGCGATGAGGTTCAACAAGATAAGCTAGATTTTGCTTGATTACGCCGATGGGGGCGTCGTAGGATCAAACGTTTTCGTAAGGTGACATGCCATGAGGCCGGTCGGTACCTAATAAATTTTAATAGTACTGACAGGTATGATAATAAACATACCATTTTGTGTTTATAGAGAGAACTTTTCTTCCGTTAAATTAATTTATACTTTTCCTTCGTTTTGGATTACGTTGAGCTTCAGATCAGCCTCGAAATATTGCTGAATACTTCATGATTTTCAGTGTTTTCACCCGATCGCCCATAAAGGCAGATTGACGTACTGATGATCGGTAACGACCGTGAAACAGCTGTCTGCGTCTGGCCTGTTGCACTCTTAGCGAGCTGTTCATGTATTAGATTGTGAATTACCTGTCTGTTGAGAACTTTAAAATAAGATTTTTCTTGAGGACATTTACCGAATCAGTGAGTGTTTAGGCGCTCCTTTTCACGAAGATGGTCGTTCGGGTCGCATTTGAAGACTAATTCAAACATCAAACTTCATTTTCGAGAAAAATGACTGTCCACAACGAAATTCAGCAATGAATTTGCCTTGGATCAGTAAGAAGACTTTTTTTAATAAGTTACCTCTTTAGGAAGTGCTTTATTGCTGCACTCCGTTGACGGATCTCTGTGTACTTTGCATTTTTGCACAGCGAGGCCAAGTAAAAATTTGACACTTGACGGTTTCTTTCACGTTCCTAAGCAATACTTACATTTTTCTACCGTAAACGCCAGAACATGCCCTTCTCTATACATTGAGGCCATTTTCACTGTTTTTGCTCGCTTTTAGACTCAGTTCTTCGATTATGAGTTCACGGCAGAGCGCCCATATAAATACTGATATTTTGATGAAACTAAAAATGTTTTGCTCGTTCTATTTCTCAAAAGTGCGCGCAGAAGCTAAAATACTAGAGAAGTAGTGTGTCATATGTTTAGAGCTGGCAATGACCATTCCGTGATGGTCATCTATGTGACATCAGGTAGAACTTTCCAAACGGCAAAAAAATTTCAACCCACTTAAACGAAGGAATCTCTATCTGCGTTATTATTGCAGTTTAGGGCACCAAATCGTACAGATCTGCTAATTTGACATAAAGGAAATGATAAAACCCCCGGTTTTCTTAAAATAACCTTTTTGTTAGCAGGTTGATAACCATGGCCAACATCGGACATGAAATAAAATTTCTAGTCCGGGTAAATCTGTTTATTAAAACTGTCGAGGTTGAATTACTATCCTTTCAATGGAAAAGTCGCTCACATGCGTAACTGGAGTCTAGGACAAGTATTAGCATAGGAAATTGCACGAATATGTTCCAACGTCTATTTTCGCCAAAATTTACAGATATTTTACTTGACATAATTACGTAAACACAATTTCTGAACAAGAAAAGGACATTTCATCGAAGGATGTGGTTGAGCGAACAAAATGCGCCATGTTAAAGACGTCCAGAAATTCTCTAATCAGTTTTCGTTATCATATTTCACGAGATAGGTCACGTACTGTATGTACTGTTGTCGGAGAGGGACTGGAAATTTGGAATTTTCGTTTGTATCTTGTTAACTTTTATCATTTGTTCGAAATCCAAATCCATCCCTGGCAGCATTTAACTCGGGTGCTTTACCGTTCAAACCATAGTTTCACTTTCAGCCGGCTTTGGCAGGAAATATTTAAAATCCCACGGAGTGACATTCACCAACACATTTTAGATTTTCCCATTCCTGCCCTGAAATCAGAGTAGAACGGTGAGCGCTATTCCATGTGACGTTTTTATGCTTGGGAATTGTTTGCACTAATAAGGGCACTTGGCTGTCATTATGATCTTCGCAACTATTTTCAAACAGAACTCATCTGTTCTTACATGGCTATTTTTAACAGTTCCCCCAATTTACATGGGACCGTAGAGCTTATTTTGCCTACAGCGCCAGAAGAGCAGGATCCTTTTCGAATATATGTAGTTTGCCCTCCTAACCTTTGATCCTGATCTAAGATCATGTTGGTAAGAATCTCGATTTATTTTGAAGTGGTGAAAAAAATGCCGTAACAGAGACATCTATTTGATTCTTACTAGTGCTGTCGGAGTCTAATTTAGTGCGTTTCTGGGTTTCATCAGGGGACTGGCATTCGACAGCGGTCAGCGTTTCTCCGAGGAGGGACTAATCTGAATATGACAGACTCAGAATGTTGTTTACTAACGTATGATGATCGTTAGCATGTCTTCGCTTTCGGAATCCCCTGTCATTCTCAAGTTCGAATCCATCAATTCCACAATTAGGCACTGAACCAGTTATATCTAGCTCAGCAATATATGCAGATAGGTGCTGGAATAGAATTCATTGTCCCCATGTCCGCTTGTGCAGCCAGACGCATACGTCTTTGCAAAAGAAAGGCAAGAGGACCCTTAAGTATCCTGTCGATCTTACGACTCTACTCCTTCTGCATGTCTTTAAATTGATCTAGCCGAAATAGCTGCTTTAGTCAGCTGGGTGCTTCTTCTATCGCTGAAGGAAGAGCTTCTAGGACTTCTCTCCAGTGCCTTCATTCAGCTCACACTTTTATCCGGGTTTCGTGTGAAATCACTGCTGTCGCGATAAAATGACCGCTTTTCCTACTCTTCTTGATTAAGCTGAAGCAGAAACTGTCGGAGGAACCTCTGGTTGTTGAGGTGATCGACCGCAGCAGGGCCAACAATGGAACCGAAGTTCTTCTGGGTCAGGCCTCGCTTTCGCTTGGACAGGTCTTTTCCGAACAACCTCATCAATTGGCGCGTTAGTCTCAGTTCATTCGCTTTCATGCTCAATTTTTGGGAACAGCTTGGCATGTGACACCCAGTTTTTATTTAATACGCCGTGCCCACCTATTTCGTTTACGTAAGTATTTTGCGTTAGGGATACTGTTGCGGTTAAGCTTACGACTAGAGTTAATGGTTAAGGTTGGGGTCAGGGTAAAGGTAAGTTTGCCTGCCGTCTTACCAATCCAGCCATCATTCACCATTAACGACAGATCATCTGTTTTCCGCCCGCTCACGCGTTCTTGATTCGAATCTTTCAAATGGCCAGTCTGTTCCGGCAAATCCTTGAAGCAATAAAACAAACATGTGTCAGAACCGCAAGTTTTCTAAATGCTTTCCGCAGATTCCGTTGATTACCGCCTCCACCTCCCTCACTCACAAAACCCCCATTAACACCCTTCCTCCATTACAGGAGTCTCTCTGCCCACTTTTTCAGTGGCACTGCATACTCAATCCCTGCCCAACTTTTTTTTAGTAAGATGTGCTTTGCATACCGATTCATCGGCAAGGCTGCCGTTTCGGTTTCCAGAAGTCGTGTGGTGTAATCCTCCTACAAAAGCTCCCACCTCACAGCTGCCTATTTTTTGTTGCACTTTGAGTGATTGTAAAAGTGGGAAAACGATAACAAACTTAGAAAGGTTTTATTCCGATTCACCGAACTTAACCAGACCTCAGAAGGGAGCCAATGGAAGTGCGCGAATATTCTGTAGAGTCTCGCTCGGAGTTTCGGTTACAAAGAAGACCGATGTCCAAAAAGTCTTCCTGCATTTGTTTTCCGGCATTGCAGTTTATCCCTTTTCACCAGCCCTTCATTGTGCGAAGTTTTCACCACGAAAACTGTCCAAGTAACCATAACCCAGACTCAGGCAGTAACTATCCAGGACTCGAATCTAGGCTCCTTACTCGTTGAGCATCGATCCATACGATCCGGCCCTTGCTCTCCCGGCTGCAGTAGGAAATTTTTCACTTCGCCTCTTTTTCTGTCTGCGGTTGGTACATAAGCAACTGGTAACAACGAATAAGTGCGAGGAGGGACGACAGAGAATGTGGGTAGATTGATACAGTATCGTTTCGGGCTTATTTTGCCCCCATTCAGCCCATCATAACCCTGACCAGCAGCTAGGACCAGAAACAAAAACATGCACACAGACACACCTGCTGCAGTTGGTTTACCACTGGGGTCTACCAGATGTGTCATAAACACTTCATCGAACCGACTTCGGCCTGGTAGTTGGTTGCCTGTTCGTGACCTTTGCCACCCATACGGAACTTGTTTGCTTCGTGAAGCCAATAGATCGGTTTGCGCCCATTTCTGATTGAACGAATAGGTCAACAATGGTCATCCCAGTCCCACTTTTGTCGGCCATATTTCTCCAACGCAGCACCTTTCACTAATTAATTTTAAACCTCTTTTTAATGTCTGTTAGGGCAGAGGAATAAGCTCGCGGTCAATATGCTGGAGCTGTGCCGTCTAAAAATACTTTTTTAGACGGCTTCAGAAAATGACGACGAATTCGCGTCGGTATGACCACAAACTCTAGTGGGCTAAAATAGTCAACCCAATGACGCAGGCCTCCGATGTCGACAATTCTTGAAAACTTTACGAACTAATACACCAACTCATATTCTCTGGTTAACAGGCGTGCGTCAATCACGTACTCGCATTGCGACATACTTTGGATCTCCGGCACGACTATTAGAGACCAAGGCTTTCTGCTTTATTGAGTTCGCTGCAGCGCTCGATTCTGTCCATTGTGCGTTCCCGTGGCTGATAATTGAGATGTATATGGCTCTGGCAGAAATCCGCTGTATAACCAAGACCTGCTATCGCTCCATCGCCATTCGAGCTCTGGTCCATTACAACCTCTCAGCAGTTTGATATTCGGTCTGATGTTTGAAGGTGTTGCGCCCTGCCGCACATCCTGTTTTGTCGCGACATTCATTCGATTTTCAGCAGGACTGTACACGGTCTTGACTGTGTCGTCTTGGCGCCAGGACACTGGCTGAGTGTCATTTGTTTCTCTGCGAACTTGCCCAGCTAGTCTTGGGTCTTGATAATCTACAGAATATAGCTCCGAGTATGAAGTCCGATTAATTAGTTAACTCTGCAAGACCAAGATATTCTCAAGCCGTATCCCTCTGGCAAGGGGAAAGCACTCAGGGTTGATGACTGCTGACTTGAAAAAGTGGACAACTTCAAGTGTCTCAGGCGACGCTTCTCGAAAGCGAACAGAGTAAGGGCCATATCGTCGCTTAATTTGATACTTCCCACAAGATTACTGTAAATCTTGGTCATTTGTGTACCCATCGCGCCATCTACATCACTGTAGTGATCCGGTTGTACTGGTTATGCGTTCGATCAGCCCTCTTGTTCGACCGTGTGTGCTAGGCTGTATGACGAATTGGACTGACCACCGTTGCCTAAAAATGGTCCTCTCACATCGATAGTTTGCGTTTGCTGCAACAACACCATAAAAATATCTCAGGCCATTCAGGAGTGGTGGTCGAGGTGGTTCAGGTACGTTTTCCTTGGCACACTGAATAGTTGGCGTTGACCACTGTGTAACTAGGTGGAGGGAAATAGCAATAAAGTTGACCCGGTACCTGGCTAGGCAGTCTTTTAAGGCACGGAGGTGGTGCTCGGATCTTTGAAAATCAGTTTCCATAACCGGAGAGGGAAGTGCGTCAAGCCCTCAGTTTTCGCTGCCGTAGATCATCGCGCGCGATGAAATACTATTCGCGTTACCTCCGCGGCCGGCTGGATCAGGCAGTAACCCAGTCACACCAACTACAGGTGAGATTAGATTGGTGGCAGACTTCTTGTCCACAGGAATACTCGAAAAATTCTTTTTTGAATTAGTCGTCAGTGACAGTTTAATCACGTCTGGCGCGCACAGTGTAGTTTTAGTCACTTTTTCGGTTTAATAGCCTACGATGAGTTTCTAATTTTACGATTTGTCGAAAATCTTCGTCGTTGGTAAATTTTACGGGTGACATATCAAATTAACGACTTGCCGGTCCAACTTTAAATTGTGACGTACTTTACATGACTGTTCATTGATCAGTAAAATCACTTCTCTTGTGCGTTCAGATTGTTTGCGGCTTCGAATAGACGGCGTCGCAGCCGTCAAATCACGCAACAATGCAGTGACAATCGCGGAACTGGCCTACTCTCTCACTTTGGAGGATTTTGGACCGCATGGATCTTCCGAGGAATTCGATAAAAGGCAACAGCAGCAGGAGAATGACGAGAAGGAGGATGAGGACATTCCACCTGTTTCTCCTCTCATTAGCCACCCTCGTTCGCCCAACCCCATCGCGCCCTCTCATGCGGCAAGCACTAGTTAGACCCCTCTTATTTTCTAAAAAGACTGAAAAATAGCATATGCTTTAGTGTTTAACGGGATCAAAGGGCTCCAAAAACAAAAAGCCTGGCTAATTCCTAACTTCCAGATGGCCCTGTTTTGGAGTCTGTGCTTTGATCTATCTTAGGATCCTAACATGTGTCTTACTTGCTCTCAGTAATCAATCGTCCATGTCCTCCTCGATACAAGGCATTGGGCCGTTGACTGTGCTAATAGACGAGGGTAGGTTCTATTAGCTGCTCACGCCTTCGGATTTTATCTCATGAATAAAAGTCGAAGGTTTGATAGACCAACATCTGAATACCGTTTACGATCTGCAGCCCATTAACATGGGTTTTTGCCTAACAAGGGATTCCGTGTTTGGCACTTCGTTTTCATAGATTACTAATGTACACGGATTGTGCTTTGTAGCCGTATACAGTTATGCTCTGTTCACTGTAATGTGTCTGCGAATTACCGTCTATGAATTTTGTCTGGCGATTATGTTGATTATGGCATGAGTTGCTGACCTTGTCAATGAATATGAAAGTTTTTATCTCACCGGCCTGTGGTAAGGCTTTATTGAACAAAGTTTTCAGTAATTCATTTCACAAGCCAGAAGAACTTCAACTAAGTTCTTATTGATGAACGTTGCAAATCACGAAATTCCTTCTCGTTCTGTGCATGTTTGGAAATGTACGAATCACTTTCAGCGGGCCCCGTCGACGGTACCAGTTAGGCATAAACAAATACACTTGTCATACGTTTTGACACCATCTTCCATCATTTCTGTTTCAGCCACGTCGACAACGCATTTCTTCAACCGACGGATCAGTTGCCTCCTGCTTGCGACCATCGCGTTCCGCTACCGATTTACCGACCGCCTTTCCGTCGGTTGAGGTTCGTCAGACACCCGAATATCGCGCTGCTCTTGAGCTTGAGCTGTGGCGCGCAGAGGAGGAGGCACGTTTCAAGGCCAGTTTGCGTCAGCGTGAACAGAAGCTCATGGCTGTCTTTGCTGAGGAGTGGCAACGTCGAGAGAAAGAACGCGAGCTCATCAGCAAAAAAAGAGTAACTCTCCACTCTGATCATGGTTTTTTGCAGTGTACAAGGACTTTGCTTGGCCACGTTTTGGCACCTTAGCTAGACCAGCCTATCCAGGGGGTGTACGGTCAAATATGAGGGATTTGGACGGCCCTTTCTGACCTGTTTTCATTTATTAGACAGCCATTCCATGGCTTAAGAGGGGAAGATCTGGGGCCGGAATCGGG